TTATGTAAGATAAACTTACCCTACGTGGATAAAGGGTGGTCCGGGGCATTCCCCGTCGAATCTTGCCTTGTTTAAGGACAAAGGTTGATCATCAGACTTCAATGAATTCTCAGTGGGTCAGGCAAGTTCCTTCCACCATGCTCCTGATATCCCGGCTCAGATTAAGGAGACCTCGGGTTTGATTTCAGAGGGAGTTAATACTCTAATTGATCTTATATATGGATCAACTCAAGCGAATCTTGAGGCAGAGCCCAAGGTAGATCCTTTAGATGACGTATCTGGGAACCCCTCTGGTTCGCCAGAGCGTCTCCTTGAAAAAGGCGACCTCTTGGACGAGCAATTACATGACTTGTATGGTATGAAAGATACATAAATAATTGACTGTGTGAACAATTTTTTTTTTTAAATGAAAATAACAAATTGCACTCCATGTGGGGAACTGCTAGATTCAATCTGAATTAATAAAATAAATTTTAATAATTAAATTAGGGATAATTATCTTATAATTAAGCAGCTGCCAGTGGCACTAAATGACATTATAATCATGTTTAAGACTTAATTTATTTTCCAACTGAAAGCAGGCTACAGGCACCTACAGTTGCCCAGAGGTTATAAGAAGACAAAAATCACATGACACCAGCAAATAATCAAAGCATAATACAGTGTTAGTTATGTCTTAGATCTATAGTGAGGAAGGGGATCCAATGCCTTTTTGAACAATGGGGATAGTTACATACATTGGCCCCTCAAATATTAGAAAAAATTATTACATACATACATCGCATGTAGAGATGCATGCGGTGTCCGATTCTGACCGTAGATCATGGTGATCTACCGTCAGGATGTCTACGGTCATGATGTATTTCGGTGGGCTTCACTTTAAATTTTTTTTTCAAAAAAATTTTGATTACATCCTGACCGTCGGGATCAGACACCGCATGCATCTCTGCATGCGGTGTATGTATGCAATAATTTTTCCAAATATTATTATTTATAAAATCTAACAGGTGATATTTATAAAACTTAAAACTTTTATTTAAATAAAAGTTGGTGGGCTTTGATATTTTCTTATAAATGGATTAAAATTTCAATTTCCCCCTACTATAAATTTCAAATGCTCTTTCCATACACTAGTTTTAAAATGTAGAGTATTTTGGAAGGTTGACAAACATGATACATAATTTAGCATTTTGTTATGAAAATTACAAATTATGATTTTTAATCTTCATGTACCCACCATTATAGATCCATAGCCCGGATGAAAAATATTATTTATTTATTTCAATTAATGCCCCTACTAAAAGAAATGTATGTCTCCACCACAAACAATGGAGGTGAGCGGTGTCACCTACCAAAAGAGCTCTTATGGGTGGTGGATAGTCTAATACTTAAATACTGCTTTTTGGTCTTATACCTAGCAGATGTGAGACTTTTTGTCCGTGACATTCTCCTCAACACAATCTCGTGACGCCCTCGTCACAGATCGGCTCAACCAAGGGTCTCACTGGATTAGGGTCCCACTGGATCATGGAGAGTCCACACACCCGGTAGGCAGTAAACTGTTCTGATATCACTTGTCACCTCCCAGAAGAGCTCTTAGGGGTGATGGGCAGCCCATGACTTAAATACTGTTTTTTTCGGCCCTACACCTAGTCGATGTGGGACTTTTTGTCCGTGACAGTAGCTAGTGGTGAAATATTTCATCTAGGCATTGCAGGTCCGAACTGTCAACCACCGTACGTCGCGTCGTCATACACCTCCTTGGCGGGCAACGTGGTGTATGAAGGTTGGCAAACCGGACGTACGAACGTCCGGATGGAATATTTTTTTTTCAACAACGGAGCCGAGCTACAGTCGAAGGCAATTATGACGTGTTAATTATTTTTAAAATACATAAATTTTTTAACTTTGTCTATCTCCCCCTTTCTCTCATCCATGTTTTATTTAAAAAATAAAAATATGTGTGATACACCACCAACAAATTTTCATCATCCGACACGATTCTCAAGACATGACATGGATCCCGAGACGTTATTTTGAGCAAGAAGCATTCAGATCTTGATAAAAATTCATTCAGAGCTTCGATTTCAGCAAACTTAAGTCAAACTGACCGTCTCGATAAGATGACCTAACGATAAGACGGACCTAATGATACAAAAATTAGTCCAATCTGAGTCAAATCAAGCCCAAATCAAGTCATTGAATCACATTTAGAATATTTTCGGACACATTTGAAAGGTCAAATGGCTGTCGAATATGACAAGTTTATACTCGAATCGAGCGGCTCGACAAGACGAATCCAACGAGCCCAAGATCACTCAATTCTGACATCATTAAAGCACTCAAATGTCTATTAAATGTTGTATGATCGAGGTAAGCCCTCCGGACCGTCCGATCAAAATGATTCATATTCCTATATTAATTACACCCATAACACTATAAATAAACCCCCACCTCTCACATGAGGGAAGTTGAAGTCTAGGGAGAGAGCCTGAGACCTTGAGAAGAGCTGCAACTCAGCATCACCGTCGATAGTCGTCGACCACTGTTGACCTCCGTCGTCGACCACCGTCAATTGTCGTCGACCATCACCGTCCGCCGAAGACCATCGCCGGCCGTCGTAGACCACCCCCGACCGTCGTAGACCACCGCCAACCTATGTCGTCAACCACCGTCAATCGTCGTCGACTGTCATCGACCTCTGCCAACCATCAGTCAACATTGTAATATGAAAAATATAGTCACTATTTTTCCGTCTGTGAGATAAGAGATTTCTATAATCATCAATTCAATAGTTGATTTCCGCAACTGGGCCAGACCCCGCGGTTTTCCCCTTTACGGGTTTTCCACGTAAGAACTTCTAGAGTCATCACCGTTTATTTCTTTTTCATCTGTGTG